CTGTGTCTGGATGACTTCATTTAAAAAAATTTTTTCCAAGTCCTTCCATTTCCTTACAAATGGGGTGGTGATATTGTTTCTGATGAACGTATAGAATTCCATTTTTTTGATCCATTCACTTACTGAGAGACATCTGGGTTGGTTCCATATCTTCGCAATGGTAAATAATACTGTGATAAACATAGTTTTAGCATGGCCTTGTTTGTGATCATTTGGGGAGCAACTAGTTTTCTAATTGCTCTTTTTGAAAATAGGGCGCAAAATAAATTCTTGCATTTTACCCATTTTATTCTCTCATTCCATAATAGTAGTAGTGGAAAATAAATGAAAACTATGTATACTGGCATGAAAACTATTAAATTCCCATCTGGCTACACTACAAGTTGTTATTTTCATCTTCATATTCTAATTATAGAGTGTTGTACTGACTAATAAGAGAGATGCTAGTACTAAATATTTAATGTAGCACTAAAGCATCAATACTCAATAAATATTAACAATTCTGTTCTTATGTTAATAAATATGAGTTATGTCTGTTTAATTTACTATTTCTGTAATAGTAAGTAATCATTCCATGAGTCGGCTACTTCAACTATATTATTTTAACATACAGAGCCTAGATCCCTTATCCTCTATAAAAGGATTACTTGTACATCAAAGGACAATGAAATAAGAGATACAAATGAGCATGATACATGTAAACATCCTTACAATAAAAAAATTTCAATCCAAAATTGAGCTCAAACAGCTATGGACATAATTATAAAGTAGCACTACATATTTACTTCACTCTCATCTTGTTTACCTTGGTGACTGGAAACACTTGGATGAACCAAGTCTTAAACTAGCTTTGTTGGGCTTGAGAGAATTTATATTCATTTGTTGTTTTTTTCTCCCTTTGGTTGTCTTTTTGTTGTTTTGTTTTTTTAAACAGAGAGCAAACTTCTCTTTAAAGGGCATGGCCAAGGTAAACAAGAAAGTCAGAAGAGAAATAAGAAAAGCTCCAGATATCTGAAATGACTCGAGAAGTCATTTGGAATGGGAGGGATGCCAAAGTTCTCATCACCTAATGCAAATAGAAATGTGTAACCGATGCTATGGAAATAGTCTGGGTGAGAAGGCCAATGATTTACATGTATATTCTATTTCTCTCCATAGTGTCAGTATTCCATATAAAATCGAACAGTCATCGTATATACACACGATAAGTGGTAGAGAAATTACCCAAAAGAAGGTCAGAAACCAGAAACCCTGTAAGCGGAAGCTTCTCTCTGACTAGCATAGGGCCTCTGATTTGTTAAATTTTTTTGAAGATTCAGTAAGACACAGAAGCACCAGCAGTAGAAGTTAACAGCTAAAATGACATCGGGTTTCTTAATTAAACAAAGATCCTTATTAGCCTTTGGCCTAATTTTGGTAATTCATAGTTAAACAGTAGAAATTAAAAATCACTAAATTTTATTGCTTGTAAATCTCTACAGCTAATTAAAACATTGCTCTTTGAAGATAGGAATAGGTATTTTCTTAGCTCTTTCAACAATCTCTGCCCTAAAATAAAATTGCATTGCTTTATCTGTACTAAATCTCTGCTTTCTCTGTTATGCAACACATATATAGACTGAATTGCATAAATGATATAGGATAGCTTTACATGATTGTCAGCTGGCACTTTAGGAAAAGATAAACCACTTGAAATGATTATGTTAGGAGAAAAGAATTTCACTATGGTACCAATTCTGAAATATTTGCTATAAAAGAACCAGTCAAATAATTCGTGGTGTATTTTTAGGTATTCTTTAGTTCATTAAAAATTTATTTTTAAGAGCAGACACTGGTGGCTCACACTTGTAATCCTAGCTACTAAGGAGGCTGAGATCTGAGGATCATGGTTCAAAGCCAGCCTGGGCATGAAAGTCCGTGAGACTCTTATCACCAATGAAACACTCAGAAAACCAGAAGTGGTGCTGTGCCTCAAGTGGTAGAGTGCTACCTTGAGCTGAAGAGCTGAGAGGCAGAGCCCAAGCCCAGAGTTCAAGCCCTACAACGGACAAATATATATATATATATATATACACATATATATATGCATATATAAATGTATTTTATATGAATGTTAATATATTTTATAGTTGTGCCTTTTGTTATTGTAAAGATACTGTACAGAGATGTTACAGTTACATGAGAAAGGTAATAAGTACATTTCCTATTGACCAATGTTATTCTCTCCTTTGTTTTTCCCCTACCATCCCTTCCCTCCCCACTTCACCAATTCTTCCCTCCCCCTGGAAATTATGAAGTTTGTGTCTTATACATCTCATAGTTTTGCTTTTATAAAATAAACCAAATAAATGACATTGCTGGCTTTAATGTTTTGTCTACAACTATCCATGATTTTGCATGTAATATTGTTTTTCTTCCTGTGACTATAACCTGGTTTCTAACTTATTCCCATCAAAGCAACTTCTCTCTACATCATTGGCACAAGGAAGTATGAGGCCTCTTAAGTGGATGTGCTATACCAATGGATAACCTGAGATAGTCCCCTGTAGTTGAGGTATCATTATTGTGGGCTCTTGTAGTGGACACAGGTAGAAAATAAGTAATTTTTTCCAAGATCTTGGTTCTATCATGACCCTAAAAATTAAAAGCAATTCCTACCAAAGTTTTCTACACCCTTATTTACTCAATAATAAACTCTGTGTCCCCTAGAGAACTCTGGCTAAACAACAATGTATTTTTACAGAAATTTACTTTGTTTTACAACAAAGCAAGAGACAGTATAGAATTAATACTGCTATGTATTTACCAACAAGAAAAAAAATAGTGATCAGTATTTGTTTGCAGTTATTGATTAAACTGTATGTAAAAATTCAATATATATATATATGTGATGAGGTTTTAAATTTGATATAGTTATGTTCAATCATTTATGTATGTGTCTTAGGGTGGCTTGCACATATATAATGTTTAATTATCTTTAATGTTTGAAATATAAAATATCTATTTCAAAAATAGAGCTCAAATTATTTCTGTTCATTCTGTTCATTTTTAATTATAAAATATCATAGTTTCAAAATAATTTTTAAAAAATATTATATTTAGGTGGATAATTATACTTACTCCCAGCCCTTCTGACTGAAAGCCATTTTCATATTGATAGAATAAGAGAGAGAGAAAGAGAGAGGAAGATAGTATTATGACTATATTTGCCCTATATTCTTCTCTCCATTTGTCCATTTCTCTTACCTAAAGCCACACCCTCTAACACAAAATTTGTTCTCTAAGGCACTTTTTACTGAAAGCCATTTTCACCACGCATGACTTGCTTACTTTCTTTTTTTAAAAAATATATCTTTTTTATTGTGAAAATACTGTACAAAGAGGTTACAATTACACGGGCAAGATAATGAGTATATTCCTTATCAAACATTGTTGCCACCTCC